TTCACAACTTCGGGCATTTCTATCTTTTTTGGCTTGGGATTTGGGCTTGGGATCTCGGGAATATGGTTTCGGGATTTTTTGGCTTGATATTTGGCTACCGGCTTGGCTGACGGCTACCTATGGGGTGTGGGGCAAGGCCTTGCGTAAGTCAGGGACGGCAGCAGCTGATGAGAGCAAGGTACGACGGCACGAACGTAGGCTAGGGCTTCTGTTCATGGAACTCCTCTACAATCAGCCTGTAAGATTAAGGTCTGATATTTTTCTTACACAAGCAGCCGGGCCTCTCAGCGGGCTGCAAACCGCTTTGAAAGGCGGTGCGGGTTGAGTCGGAGGCATGAGCCAGATGTAGTAGGATCGACAGATTCGATATCAAGATCTGAGACGACAGTGCACGAGACATCATAAGACTTTCGCCTACACTGAAACCTGTCAGGCCTACTATTCGATGTGGTGACGGTGCAGTCTTGCGGTCACCGAGTGGCGGTAACTGGGGAAACAACAAACAGGCCGGGCCACGGGATCCGGCCAGTACCGGTAACAGGAAGTGAGTCCTCGCCTCGATCTTCGAACTTGGAAATGGGTAAGTCCCCAATACAGTACGGCACTCTAATGAAAAGGACCCTAAAAAGTACCACAATTTAGAAAACTACCCAAATCGTCAACTCTAAACCCTAAAGATAGGGCAGAGCATGCACTCAAGGAGATGTTGCCTTGAGGGGCTAGCCCGAAAGCGAAAAACAAGGATGAGGTCTGGACAAGCTTGCACTGCTCCATACCCGAAAAAAGCCATCTTATGTGGGAAACGCCTGCCCTATTCATCGAACCACCCCTGAAAGGGGATCCTGGAAGGGAAACCTTTACTTGGAGGTTCATGGGTGGTTAACAGTGGGGTTAGAAGTCCCCTAATAGGGTTATAATTGTAGTTAGCCTACTTATAACCCTACTTATAACTACCCGTGAACCTCTAAGTAGGGTTATAAGTAGGGCAACTATAGTTATAACCCTATTAGGGGACTTATAATCCTACTTATAAACTACCCATGAACCTCCAAGTACCCATTCCGAAGTAGCAAAAGGCTTCCGAGCTTGCAGCCGGTGATAGCTTCCAGGCTGATGCTCAGAGCCATCCTCGCTTAGAGTTTTGCTTTTAAGAGGGGCCCTTTTTAGTTTATGGTTTAGACTTCTGGGTTTTAGGCTTAGGCTTTAGAGTTCTATTGTTCATCGCTTTACGGCTTTTTGGCTTCTTAGGGGTTTAGGGTGTTAGATTTCAGCTTAGGGCTGGAGGTTTGGGTGAGGATTTTGGGACTCGGTTAAGTGCCATGTGAGAGTTTCGGGGTTGTGAGTGGAAGAAAGATGCTAGCGTTTAAGGACTGCAAAATTGCTTTGGATCCAAAAGTTTAGGTTTTGCAGGCTTGGGGCTGCAAGTTCGGACTCAAAAAAAGGCAGCAGGCTCAGATAACACACCAGTGAACATCGATCATGGCTTATAGGGCTCAGGATGCGGTGGGTTCTGGCAACTGCGGCCTTAGAATCTGCGCCAAGGCTCGTATATTAAAGCAGTCTTTGGAATGAGAGCGCCGTCTTCACCTTGGCAGAAAAGCCGCTCGTCGAGGCTCAAGAACAGACGCTCATCCATGTCACGTGAGACTGCTGCCTTTCACCATCTCGATTCCTGCCTTTTCGGCAGGATCCAACCACCTGCAATGCTTGCATACCACTAGGTCTCGCAAGGAAACTCAGCAAGGCCTGTTGGCCCAAAGGTCGAGAAGTCGCACAGGTTTGGCCGGCGGGGGGTCTGTGGGATCCTGGCAAAGGGGATGACGCTGCCGTCATCGAAGCGACGTGTTCCTTCGGTCATCCTTTGCGGTCCTCTTCTGGCATCAACACAATTTCATCGATGCGGAGCATTGTCACCCACTGCCTGCAGGGCCCAAGGTGCAGGACTGCCCCCAACATCAAGGAGTCAACACTTGGTCCGCATGCCGATGCCTGCGACGGTAGAAGTGGGACTGCTTTCGCCGGGGCTTGTACCTGGTCTTTCAGATGACATTCCGAAAAGTACGTTGCACGGCAGAAGCTGCACAATGCCAACTCGGAGGCGTTTTGCCAGCATCTTTTCCCCCTACAAGTACTTGGTAAGCCAGGAGCCAGAAGGCCAACATCTCTCTGGTCAGAGTCTGCTGCCTGCCGAGTGCATCCGAAAAGCAGAAAAGACGCGAGAACAAGGCTGCCAAGAAGCAGAAGAGAGTTTAAGGTCTAGGGTTTCGAGGTGCAGATGATCTATGCATGCATGTAAACATGTATGCACACACTTTGCTTATCTTCGCTTTGCTTTGCTCCGGGGCATGGAGGATGTTTTGTCCCCTCCCACGCTCGTCAGAGCGGCCCCATCCACACACACGCACACACAAACCCTACTATTTGAGATACGATAATCAGGAAACCATATTGTTCACTACAATAAGGAAACCATCTTGTTTACTATAACAAGGAAACCATATTGTTTACTATGATAAGGAAACCATATTACCATATTGTTTACCATAATAAGGAAACCATTTTGTTTAATACAATAAGGAAAGCATATTGTTTGCTATAATAAAGAAACCATATTGTTTACTATAACAAAGAAACCATATTGTTTACTATGATAAGGAAGCCATATTGTTCACTATAATAGGGAACCCATATTGTTTACTATAATAAAGAAACCATATTATTTACTGTAGATCCCTATTATGGTAACTTCAACTCAGCCAAAGGAAGAGCCGGCCAGCCCTCCCCCCGCGCACGCATGCGCACTGGTACAAGTCTCGGTGTGAGAGCTGTTGACATGATGAGGCACGGTCACACACACGCACACACACACACACACTCTCTCTACATATGTATATATATAACTAATTTGTATTTATCTGCGTACTTAAATGAACATACATTTGAAGGTATGTATATATATATATATGTGTGTGTTGACATATAGAAGTTATAGAAGCAGATAAGTATCCATAAGGATACATATACGTATATATACATATCATACATACACACATCCATAGACATTTGTCATTACATGAACATGGACGATGCAACCACCCAAACTCATGCCATTGCAGGCTCTAAACTCCCTCAGGATCAGGCTCGATGGTCGCCTTCACTTTCGCATAGGGCCTCAGAAGACATCTGGGCTGAAATGCCTTCAAAGAGCGCCTAAACTATAGTTCAATGTGTGCCTAAAACATGGTTTAGCATGGCAAGACAGACATATATTGCAGAAAATGATATGGTATAACGCGGCACAATCAATGTAGGAGTCTAGTACAGTATGGTATGGTATAGTGCAATTTTGCATAGTACGGTATAGTGTGGTACAACATGTAGCATAGTACTATGTAATATAACCTAGTGAAGCAAATAATCATCAGAACACGTCTCGTTCTTAAGCCTAGAACACGGTCGGCTTCCCGAGGATGGTGAAGTCCTGCGATGCATAGCCGGAACGGACGAACTCCTCGCGTCTGTGTTTTTTGGTCCTTCGAGCCAACTACCAGCACAGTCCCAAAAACGACCTGGCCAACATTCTGCACAACAAAGATAGGAGTGTTCCTATGTCACCTGAAAACTGAATTTAGGGCAGCTTGGACTAAGCAACGCAGCTGGCTTCTTGACAGACGCAATAGCCTAAAGTCCTAAAGGAAACGAAGCTGGAGCCTTCTCACCAGCCTCTCTTCTGTGAAGCTTTTCAATTTGCACGAGATCACCGACCTTGACACCACCACACCGAACTGGCAGCAAGGTCGGTGCAAACTGAGCTGCTTGCTGTCACTTTGTGCTGGTGCAGCACACTGCCTGAGACGAGAAATTCCATCGCTTAGAGAATACTTGAATACAGGGCTCACTCGTAGCTTGTACCAGGTCGAACAACAATGGCCCTGTGCTTGCGAGCTGCTCTTGAAGACACAGAAGAGCTCTTGCTCCTTGATCCTGCATCATTCAACAGCGACCGAAACCTGTCGAACCTGAATAACAGTGGTAGTAGTGGAAGTAGTAGTAGTAGTAGTAGTAGTAGTAGTAGTACTAGGGGAAGTTCCCTGGCCTGTCAAAATGTTTTGGGCTCGGGAGCTCTGGCTGCGGGCTCCTGGCAACAGCACGCAAGCTGGGATACAACCCGAAGAGCATGATGGTAGCAGCTTCTCCTGTGTGGCATGTCGTCATGCCATATGAAGGAACACGTCGGCTTGCTTCCTCAAGTCACCCGAGGCTTTCCCTGACCTTCTAGAGGAGATACAACGACAAGCTGCGAGGAAACTCCGTGCGCTGAGGCTTCCAATGGCGAGCCACCTCGTCAACGGATCACTAGTTCGTTCGTGGGATCTGGTGCAGATCATCTGGCTCAACAAAAGAGGCATGTAGAGTCCATGCATGTCAGGATGCAGCCCGTGGTGTTATGCAACTTGGTCTCACACACCCATTCGGCTGGTTGAAAATCGAGTCGTGAACTGCCAGCGCAGCTTCAGGTCATCTCGGTTGAGGGCTGGTGCAGGGCTTTAGGGTTTCGGCTTCAGGGTGCACTGTGGCATCGGAAAGGGAGGCAGAGTTACTGTAGACAGCAACACCAACAAGCTGAGTTCCGCGCTGTAAGTTAGAAGCTCGTTCATATTCGCTTCTATATCTTGGAGTGGATGTTTTGGTATCTTTGGCGGCATGTACCTCTCAAAAACTCGCGACACATCAAACACATCACCCTGTGACCTGGTGCTGCTGGGAATGCGCTTGCATAGGTGGCGCACAGCCTCGGGCGCTTCTTTGACCTCGTCGGCATTCATGGGGTTGGCTGTGGGACAAATCCCTCTCTGTCAGAGAATGAGGACGTGACCCCTGCACAACCTCCAGCTTGTGGCCCAGAATGTGGCCTACAGACGTTTTGCATGTATGCCTGAAATAGTCGGTCGATCGTGGAGGCACCTGTAGCTTTCACTGGGTGTCGGATGATGCCGCGCACCTGGCAGCATAAAGTTTCCGAGGCAAGCCACCAGGAAGCTAAGCTTCTGAGGCCGCCAACGCCACCAAGAGCTTTCGACCACCATGCCGTAGGATGCTCGATCTGTCCTGGGGCTTCAATCCATGTCTGACAAGACTCCCATGCTGCAGCCACCGCGTCCTTGCAGAGCTCTGGTCGAGGCCGGAATCGCTCGCCTCGTTTCAAGCAATACGGAGAAACGCGGCGCTCTATCTAGACTAGTGACGGCCTCAATCGGCACGCAGCGCTGCATGCCATGACCGAAGCTAGGATGAGACGAGGTTGGGAAAACTTGGCTGTGCTGGCTAGAGGGCTAGGGAGGTTAGTACGGTCATCAAAGTAGCTCACTCTTTCCAATGCTCAAGCTACTGAAGAGCTAAAGCCAGCAGAAGACGACGGACAGTTACAAGTTGTATGTCCGCTCCTTCAGCAGCACACATATCAGAAATGGCATCTGTTCCGCTCGAACTGCTCGCGAAGTCCGGGCAAAAGCACGATCTCAGCCGGAGATGCCTCACAGATCATCGCACTACCGAGAGAGAGGACGATGGACTTGTTCCTCACATCCTGGCCAAGCAAGAAGTTCAAAAAAGTACTTAGAGGTTCATGGGTAGTTATAAGTGGGGTTATAAGTCCCCTAATATGGGTTATAATTATAGCTACCCTACTTATAACCCTACTTATGACTGCCCATGAACCTCCAAGTACTCTGCAAGTCCAGCAGGAACGAAAGGAAAAGCCGGTCCATCCTGCTCTTGGCGCAGTCTGCACGATGCGTAGCTTCACCGAGAGGGAGCACCTCATCCCAGATTGCTCATTCTGGCCACATAGGGGCAATCTGGGCTCTGATCCTGCATGCTGCGGCTGAGTGTACCACGACTTTGCATGTCCATTACTGCGGAGCCCGGTCCAAATGCGCCAGCCTGCAACATTGAAGCAAAGCCAAGAAGTCTGAAGGTCTGAAGTCCGAACCCTGGAAGGGCCCACGCCACATGTCAAGAGGTCGACAAAAGGGGCCTGCGTTCTCGCAGGTCTTCGGCTGAAAGAGTCTCTGCTGCGACCTCCAGCACACTGCCAGCGGTCAGGTTCGAAAAGACTCGCGAACTTGATGACCTCACCGCTCGCTGCAGCGCTTGCAGTGCTTCCCTGCGTAGCAGGTGTCTCCAGCTGGGAACCTCCCCCTGTGCCAGCAACCTGTCGAAGAAGCGATGGGAAATGGGCACCGAGCCTAGATCTCTCGAGGCCCATGCGGGAACTGGCCGGAATCCACCCGTGTTTAGCCTGTTCAGGAAATCCTCGGCACACGGACGAAGAAGCAACCATCCTATTGAGCCAGTGAGCCAGAGACTGTGCCTGGTCTTCTGCTGTGTTGAGTGCCTGCACACTGTACGCTCGCTCCGATTGACCAAGCTTAAAATGCTATGCGACAAAATCCCCTTCTTGTCTCAGCACGTACTAATAATATCCAATGATTCTAGTAATACACTAGTCATCATAATCATCAGAATGACAATGACCATTTTTGACTATGCTTATTAGTACATACTGAAACACTTCCTACTGTACTATATATAGCTGTTACTAGTATTGCTAGTGCTACTAATTATTATTCTTCTTGTTCTTACTCACATTTATAGTTACTGATGTTACAAGCTTCCGTGTGGGCCTCGTCTTGCGGTCTCAGGCGATGTAGAAGCCAGGCCCATGCCTATGGGGCGGCGGAGGTTGGGAGGCGGGGAAGGTGGAGGGAGGTTTAGGGTTCTTCAGAGGGGTTAGGGCTTTGGGTTTGAGGGGGGGCGGGGTTCTGCTCAGAATGCCAATCTTACTGCAATCACTGATTCTAGCTACGAGCACTACATTTTCCAGCAAGCCAAGTGGATGTTGATATGATTGTTGGTCTGGTTTTTAGTTATGAACTGTTCTTCTTACTGCTACGTTTGTTGCTACTTTTAAAGTTCGTGTGATTGCTTTGCTACGCTTGTTATGTGTTGCTGTTGCTGTTGCCGGTGCTGTTCTGGTGCTGGTGCTGGTGGTGCTGCTGCCGCTGCCGCTGCCGCTGCCGCTGCCGCTGCTGCTGCTGCTGCTGCTGCTGCTGCTGCTGCTGCTGCTCTGCTGCTGCTGCCGCCGCCGACGCTGCTGCTACATCTGGTTTTGGTCTTGGTCGTGGTGTTGTTGTTGGTAGTGGGGGTATGTGGTGGTTTTGCTGCTGTGTCTTGCTATTGTTCAGCTGTTGTTACTGTTCCTCTGTTGTCGCTACTGCGATATTTGAGGCTACTTCATGTATGGTGTTTTTCTCACAGCTGCAATCACACTATCTGGACCATGTACTCATGTCGCGGCCGATTTACTCCATCTATGCCTAGATGCGCAGATACAATATACATGTGCGTGCACAGGCAAATATGCACCTGCACCTGGATAGACGAACAGACAGATATCTACGACATCGGAAAGGTTCACTGCATTGGTCAACATGATTCGTCTGTACTGGTACTACTACTGATGTAGCATGACCTTGCCTCGGCGAGCATGCTCGTCAGGGAGGCGAAGTTAGCAAGGGCCGGCCCAATTGCGGCTTGCTGCGGGTTTGCAAGGATGGAGTGTCGGGAAGACTTCCCGGAAGAGCAAGTGTCAATGTCAGCAGTTGTCCCTGTTGCTGCTAGTCAAGTGACTTAACCGCTTGCACTTGCGAGAATAGAATGAGACCTTCAAACTGAGGTTACGGCCGACGAAATAGCGGCGGAAGCAGCGCAATCAAATCTTGTGTATGCACTGCACACAGGTGCCTGCATTCATGGAGAATGCGACCTCACACACTCGGCCGCTCCCTTTTCAGCAGGGGCGTTGTAAGAGTGCTGCACGCGTATGGTCTTTGCATACCGTGCGGTGCGCATGTAGCGGTGGCGCCGGTCTCGTGGCCGGGGTGCCTGGGACCTGGTCGACCTAGTTCTCGTGAGAAGCAGAGGTGCATCCGTGGAAAGGATGTTTTCATCCAGAGAGAGCTCAGTGACTGCCGGCCAACCACCGACGGAAGGAGAGGTAGTTCTGGCAAGAGTTTGTCTGTGATTTTCAGACTGGGTTTAGGTTTAGGGTTTAGGGCGTTCAGATTGAATAATCACACTCTGAATGGGCCTTGTTGGAAGGATCCAGTTGAAGAGCTGCGGTCAGCATCTCCTGACGGCAACCGCTCTGCGTCTGAAACCACGCACAGCACTTTGGTGCCGACCTTGGCGGTGTCGACATTCCCGGCATGCGCCTCTGAGTCCAAGAGAAGCCACTAAACATCAGTAACCCTAAATCCTGAACCCTAAACCCCTAAAGCCCTGAACCCTAAACCCCCCAAACCCTGACAAACCAGGTGAAGACCCGGGGCCTCAAGTTGTGCGAGGTTGGCAAGGCAGCCATGCTGCGAGCCGTCGACAGCAACGGCTTTTTGGTACGCGCTCCGAGCCTGGAAAAGGCACAGGTTTTGGGTTCAGGGGTTTAGGGTTTAGGGGTTTTGGGGTCTTGGGTTTTGGGGGTTTAGGGCTTAGGGGTTTAGGATTTAGGGGTTTAGGGCTTAGGGTCTCCACCATTGCCTTCCCGAAGTTCTTTTGGCGCTGATGGAACTGTCCGATTCGAGCCCATGCCCGCGAAGTCCTTGTGCAATGGCCCGGCAGGACCCGGCTATGCCATGGTGAGACTGGCTCCATGACTAAGATGGGGACTGCTGATTGTCAGATGCTCTTTCGAGGCTCTTAAGCAGCTCCTGTGCAGCCAGCCAGACACCATTGGACACCGAAATCCCGGCTGCGGTTCAACACAACCGGCCAGCAACCAGCCTCCGGAACATCAGAGAATGGCACGGAGCCGGGCGTGCGGACACTTCGCGAGGAGGGTGATGGACCTGCGATGTGCAGGAACATGCCCCCTTTCACGGCGATGTCATGATGCCACTCTGGGGCCGCTGCCTGTAGAGCTATGAGTCTTTTGAAACTCTTGTCTGTCCTGGCGCATGTCCTAAAGCCTGTGCCCCACGGCCATCCCTGTACAACTCAGCACAGCTCCTCTGAAGGCGAGCTAGCAAAGGTCCTGCAAGAGGGAAGTGTGGTTCGCCGCCCCCGGTCCATTGGGCCCCCTTCCAAGTGTTCAAAACTTGTGGCACGAGTTGAACCCTTCCAATTCAATACTGGCCACCCTCAAAGATAGACATGGCATGTGGCCAGGTTTGCAATCACGCGAGAAATTGGCCGCAACGCAATGGGCCGCAGAATTGGAAAAGAAACCAGCTGTCTGCACCATGGGGTTATCGTGCCTCAAATTGGAACTGTTCTCCTGTCTGGTCTGCTCGCATGCACGCTTCTCCGACTTCGTATCCCATGGTCTCCTGGGTAATTCTACCACCTAAGTGCGTGCGTGTGTGCTGGTGACACCCCAGTTCTTGCTGCCATCCCAGCGGAGGAAGTAGCAGAGATGTTGAGACACCGACCTTCATGTTGCCTTTTGCATGCCATCTATTGGATGCAACTTTGAAGAGCATCTGTCATGCATGCTTGTGCCAAGAAAAAGAAACTTCGAGGTGCAAAGGCCAAGAGAAGGAACCGACGGCAGAAGCCCGGGAAAAGAAGCCGGAAAGTGTCTAGGGTTTAGGGCTGAGGTTTCGGGTTTGGGACTAGACAAAAAGGGGCAGGATTGGAGAGAAGAGAGGCTGCACCGCGCTAATGGGTCGAGCCTACTTGTCGATGAATTTCCGGAAAATGTGCATTACATCAGACCCAGAAGCCTTCAAAAAGAAGAGAATGTGGAGGTAAAATGAATCCTCTCTGAGCATAGAGCCCTGGTTTCGTCCGTAGGCCCGGCCAGACAAAGGACCGGAATGTGCCGTGTCCAGGGCTGAAACTAGGGTGGGACAATGGCGCGGCCGTGCCTCAGATTTCAAGGTTTGTGCATGTCCAGCTTAGTTAGAGCCAAAACCGCACAGGGTTCCAAGCGGTACCTGGTCCAGTGGCTTATTTTATGACTATTGATTGATACTATTGTTGTTATTGCTATCGTTACTACTAAACTTTCAACTTAATACTAACATTATTCTGGTTGTTATTATGACTATGACTGCTTTTATTGTTAGTACTATTCATGTTGTTACGTTCATATGATTATTACTATTAATTTGGTATCATTATTGTTCGTACAATTGTTATTCTCAGTAATAACACTATTACCATTCTGATTTTGTTAATTTTACGATTAGTACTAGTATTACTATTATTGTTGTTATTTCTGGTATTATACTTAAGTTATCATAATATCACTGTTGTATTACAAACATGCATCGAACAAGCTCTACAGCAGGCCAACTCACGGCACACGCAATGACAGAGCTTAGGGCTTGTCATGCAGGTAGCTGCACAGGAGCAAAGCCGGTCCTTGGTGAGGATAAAGATGGAAGTTCGAGATCTCGGTAAGAACTCTTGACCTGCAAGATTCACCAGTCGCGAAGATGACCATGCACTGGGAAGGACTCCAATGTCCGGGAAAACTCATCTAAAAAGTTCGAACTTGGTTTCAATCACGAACTGCACAGTGGCTACTGCGATCCAGATATTAGCATGCATCGGCTATGCTTGGCAAAACGACAGCACGCATTGAAGCTGATTGAATGCAGCAGAAAAGGGCACGTCTTCTTTTCTGTGCCTATCGTCAAGCCATGGCTGCATCGACAAGATGTGCCGCCGAATACACAGATCTTCATCTCGACTAGTATTTACCAGTTTCCATAACGTGGGGCTCGGTGTCTACTTCTTGCAGACTTGATCATGATACCGTCAATGGTTGTAGGAATCCAGCCGTAGCAGCTGGAGAGCCAAGAGTGTATCTTCGCGAAGAAGCCAACCCTCACGCCGGCAATCGTCGCGTCCAGAATCGTCTTGGCCGCTTGGCTTGAAGGTTCCGCCACGCTATCGAAGAACTCGGCAGCTACGTCGTTTCCAAATTTAAGTCGGCTAGTGTTCAAAGAGGTGGAAACCTCACCCGGACAGGACAAGACAACGGCCGGCGAGTTGGCTCCATATGCATCCAAGAGCTCAGTACGCAAAGACGCGCAGAAGCCATGCAGAGCCCACTTCGAGGCACAGTAGAAGGTCCGAAAAGGGATGCCAAAGAGCCCTGCAACGGAAGAAATCACTACGACTCTGGAGTCCTTGGACTTTGGAATGAAGGGTAAAGCGTAGAAGAGGACATTTGCGGTTCCCATGAAGTTCAAGTCCATCAGCCTGTCTGCATCTGACATGTCTTTGATGTCTTCGAAATAGCATCCCATGCTGACCCCTGCATTCAGTATGATAATGTCCACTGTGCGAAGTTCTTTCGTGGCCTGTTGCACAGCCTCATGGCAGGAAGCTCTGTCCGTCACGTCGCACTTTAGAGGGATCACTTTGGCGGCCTGTCCGGGCGACGCCGCACGACACTTTGCTGCTACTTCCTGCAAAACTTCGAGTCGGCGCGCTAGCAGCGCCAGGTTCGCCCCCTGGCTGGCAAACAGCAGCGCCAGCTCTTCTCCAATGCCAGCACTGGCACCAGTAATGAGCACGTTCTTCCCGGCTAGGTCCATGGCACGAGAGAAAGGACGAAAGCCGAGCCGATAGCTGCCAGAAGACGGCAGTCGAGGCATCATGAGCACTGCCAAGACCATGAGCGAAGAATGTCCGTGACGAAGGGAAAAGCCGAAAAGTTGCCTGCTTCTTTGGCTCGTCTTGCCCCAGCTCCTCCTGGAAATGGTCTGTGCTCCGTGTGCTCCATTGAGCTGCAAGAACAGGCCTCGATGCCGTCAACTTCCTCAGCCGCTGCCTCAACATGAGAACCGTCCGTGGGTTTCACATCAGCACATTTGACACTCTGGACCTCGAGAATGGTTTCCAGCGTCGAACGGCCTCCGGTTCAGCGTGAGCTTACGCAGCCACTCTTTAGACATTGAAAGGCCAAGGCCTTCCAAGCACCAACTCTCGCTGCCTCGGCATACGGAATCGGATGTTTCTGGATGCAGGGAGGCTGCGAAGAGCGCCTGAGCTGTTCTCCAGGGTGCCCCCGTGTTCCTCCGGCGGTCAAGCAGCACAAGGACCCGTGCAGGACAGTAGTACTTAAAGGACCAAGGGACTTAGCAAGTAGGGATATAAACAAGGCAAGTATGAGTATGACTACTTCGAAACCCCAATTGGGTCAGTTCTGACTCTGGTTACTAAGTCCCCTGGTATCCCCTGATCCTTTTAGGGAGGACGTCCCAGCCTTCGGCTCCAGAAAACCTGCAGCAGAGCGTCACAACTCAGCACTCACATGCAGGTAAGTAGGGGCATCTAAAAAATCTGGGATCGTTGGAAGAAAGACGAAGGCCCGGACCTTACGACTTCAAAGGGCCCCAATTTTGCTTCAGAGACCCTAAACCCTAAACCCTAAACCCTGAACCCTAAACCCTAAACCCTACACCCTAAACCCTACACCCTAAACCCTAAACGCTAAGTGAGCGGAGCCTGGAGGATTCGGCACCTGGAGGCCCTGCGCCAGAGCAGACTGCTGCATCCTTCGCCACTCCTGGCCAAACTGGGGATCAGAAGGGTCCCCTTTAAGGGACCTCTAGGGTTCTATAATTCCCCTTTAAGGGATCTTTAGGGTTCGATAATAGGGGTCCCCTTTAAGCCTAGCGGGTTCACTATCCGGGCGGGTTTTTGTTGCTTTTTATGTGTTTTTGCATGCCCCTCTCCTTCTTGCATGCCCCTCTCCTTCAGTGCTGTTTGTCCCACACCTCGAAAACACCGTCCTGCGCGATGTTTTCGCACTCTTCCTGATGTGGCGCTCTTCGTGCCCGAGGATTCTGTCTCATTCTCGTTTTCTTGAAAAAACACCGAAAAAGTCACGTGACTTTTTCTGGTGCTTTTTTGGATGCGACTTGGTCCGAAGCTCGAAAAACGTGGCCTGCGTGGTGTATTCGTGACTTTCGGAAACCATGTTTTCTGCTATCCTCTGCTTGCAGCTTTTTGCGCTTTTTGTGTTTTTCTGTCTGTGCCGTTTTCCGTCATTTGCTCTGCTT